GCGAACCCGGGCCGCCGCGGTGGGAAATATATATATATATATATAACTAAGTATTTCCATTCTGAATATTTTGCCGTTATGTAGCAGCCAGAGTTATTAGTAGCTGCGGACGTGAACAGAAGATGGAAGCATAAAATGGCAAAGCTTCAATCTATATGCAGTATCTACCTTTACAAAAACATTTGGTCTGTAGGTAGCAGCACGACTTATATCAAGCTTTCCTTCTAGAATTTTTGAAGTTTATAGTGTGAATATTCAGAGAAATGAGTGAATCAATCAAATAAAATTTCCCCTTAAAATTTTAAAAATCTTTATAAAATATTGTATCTCAGAGCTGTTTAAATATGCATTAACCCAGATGAAACTTGTTGGACTGATATGAAATGAGATCAGTAAGTATGAAAACATGGGGCGATTTAATCCAACAATGAAAGATGACTAAGAAATTCATGGCACCTCTATGCGTGTTTAATAAAAATATTTAAGGTTTCGAATTTTTTTATCAGAATTAGAAATATCCTGGGAACAAACATATCAAAGAATGATCTTTTGTTCCTAGACATGATTCTTCTTCACTGGCCTATCATTTATATAAAACCTGCTGATTAGACATAAATTGAGATTCTATGCGATAAAGACTATGCATAGAAATAAACGTCCATTACGGCCCAGCGAAGGTGTCTAAGGATTCATGTGAGCTGAGTCCTGAAACATATCAAGACATTGCCAGGCAACGGCTAGATAAGCACCCCACTATACGCGCATGTTAAAATAATGCGATGGAGTTGAATTCTGCTCACTATCATAGTACTGCACTGCCGATTGTTGTTGTTGTTTTGGTGTTATTTTAAGCCGCTATATAAACGTTGGATTATGTGTGTCGGGTTAGAAGTGGTAAAAAGATTATGAATGGTAATATGCCGGGGCACGCGGTAGCGTAGTTGGTTGAGGCACTATGCTACAAGCCGGAAGGTCGCGTGTCAGCCTCTTAACAGAAGTGAGTACCAGGAATTAATTAAATAAATTTCCTGGGGAGTAAAGCGCGGCCGGCGCGTAAGGCTGACAACCTTACCGCCATCTGTGAGCCGATTGTCTAGATAATGTGGGACCCTCAACGTCTCACAACCCGATGGGCCTTCACGGCCTCTTACAGGGATAGCTTTACTTTTTACTTTACTTATGGTAATACGTCGCGAATGTTGAAGAAAGCTTTGAGTTAAAATAGTCTCCTGATTTTAAAAGCGTCAATTGTTACAGTTGTACTTTGCAGTCATAAGAGAAATAAAAGTAGTCATCTAAAACAATAGTTCTGTTTAATCTCTTCAACATACTGTCATTTTTCACACTAAAACACCATGAAGATGACAGACTTGTGTCGAAACGTATAAGTATAAATAAATATTATACAGAACAACAAAAAGTACATTTTTATCAAGTGGTTATATTAAATTGAGTTTATATCCTTATTTGTACTTGGAGTGACTGAGGCAAACATGAAAACACCACGCAGGATTAAGGACATGGGCCGGGATTGGGGGGTCGGTACCTACTGAATGCGTTACCGCTGTGCTAACCAGTTCGGTGTGATGATGCCGACGAAGACGGAGACTCACCGTTGCCCGCACGCACCAGGTCGGGCTCACCGGCGTACAGCATGCGGGCTCTGCTCTTAGAGCGGCCGCGCCTGGACCGCGTCCCGGCCTCCCGCATGTCCTCCACGAGCTGCGTGGCATTGTGCGTTGCGGCCCGCGAGCGTGACCGCCTCACGGGCGAAGCGAGGGCCCCCACGTTCGTGGCGAGGTAGAATGTGTCCACGTCAGCAAATTCGTTCCTCAGCTGCGAGAAACTCCGTACCTACGGGTCAGACAGAAACATTTTCTCAGGTGTTACGATTTCGAACGTTTTTAGCTAGACAAGTGTGAGATTCGTGATGAAATGAAGGCAGTAATGGACAGGGTCCACTCAGCCTCGTGAGGGCTGGATGTATAGATCCACATTTTCTTGACCTCGTAACTAGATGGAGGTGAATGTTCAGTTTCACGCCCTGGCAACTTTATGCCCGGTGGATGAGTCAACGGTATCCATTGATTAGAGGTTTTGAGGACCCCAGAGCCGGCAGAAAAGAGGGGAGAAGGGAAAAATCTGTTCCTCCTTCCGGGAATCGAAATCCGGCCGCCCAGCCCGTAGTCCGTCGCTATACCGACTGAGCTATCCCGGCTCTTACTCTATATGATGAACCTAGAGAAAGTTATAAATTCTTCTTATAGGAAAATAGTGAACTATTCACGTGTCTTGCTTCAAACATACCGTATTGCCATAATTCATTCAAATTTAATCGTGTTTTTCGTAAAAATCATGTCAAAATACAAGGACATTCTTAATAATCACCGCCGTGAAAACCTCAGATCTTACAAGGGAATTTTTGTCTTAACACCCATCAAGGAATAGAGCGATAGAGCCAGCAGGTGCAAATTTTCGGATAACCTATGTATAGATATATTTGTATAGCAGTTTATGCTTGTGAATTATGGTAAAATACCACAGTACCACAGCTGTCAAACTTGCCAATTTAATATTTTATGACATTTCTCGCTGGCACGAGGTAGCGTAGTTGGTTGAGGTACCATCCTACAAGCCCGTAGGTCGCGGGTTCGAGTCCCGATGGGTTGGATTTTTTAATTTACCTAATAATTCCAGCCGCGCTATGGCCATGGGGTCGACTCAGCCTCTAACAGAAATGAGTACGAGGAATCTTCATGGTGGTAAAGGGCGGCCAGTGCGTAAGGCTGACAGACTTACAGCCATCTGTGAACCGACTGTCTAGACAAAATGTTAGAGCCTCGACGTCTCACCTCCTGCCCTGCAACGGTATACATCCTCTTGGTACCGTTCATCTTGAGCACCTGCCCCAAGTCTTCCAGCACTTCCTCGAAAGGTTGAGATGTCCTGAGATTGAGCAGTACTCGACACTAAAAGAGAATGTCACACATATAGGCCTATTAATAATAACCAGAACTTCGTTCCAAAATTACACTACATTTGTGCTGAAAATCTCATAGAAAGAAATAATTTGGAGACGTAGTTGAACAAACACCTGCTCACGCTAGTTCCTCGCTCGAGGATTTTTCTACCCTGAAGATGGAGGCGATATGTTACTCCGAAACGTCGGTTCAAACAGAATTTGCACGGCGCCACATCACAGGAGACGGCATTTTTCACGGTAAATAAACTTTGTGTTACTTAAAGTGTTGAGGGATTTTTGAGGTAGCTGAGAGACTGGCAGCTTCTGCAGAAGAACTCGGTTGAATGAGTCAGTTCCTTTAACAAATATCCCAGTATCTGCTCATACTGAGAGCATCACACAGTATATCAATCGCGCCTATCGGCCCATCTGAAGCAGATGTGCTGGCCTTTACGGCAGAGCAGGGTAATCTGAGCCCACTTACCCATCTGCACGGCCAGGTGAAACATCGCGCTCACTCGCTCGCTCATGGAGCTGAGCCCTTCTGGAGGAGCCGCCAGTTGTGCAGCTACTCAAATTCCCAGCATTTTATGGAACCTGTAGGTTCATTACCGTGTTCACAAGAGCCCTCCACTGGTCCTTATCCTGAACCAGATCAATCCAATCCATCCCATCCTATCTCTCTAAGATCCATTTTAATATTGTCAACCCACCTACGCCTTGGTGTTCCCAGTGGTCTCTTTCCTTCTGGCTTTCCCACCAATATCCTATACGCATTCCTCGTCCCCCCATTCGTGCTACATGCCCTGCCCACCTCATCCTCCTTGACATGATTATTCTAATTATATTTTGAGAAAAGTACAAATTATGAAGCTCCTCATTATTCAGTGTTCTCCAACCTCCTGATGTGGTTAATTACTTTTGAAGAATTTTGACTATAACTTGAAATGTAATTACAGAGGTTCAGATAGAAAAAATTGTTTCGGAAACAAAAAAGTTGTCATCTGGCATATCATGGGGGGGCGGTCCAAGGTGGAGCAGAATGTTGAATTTTCAACCTAGAACTTAATCCGAAAATTGCAAATTTTCATGATAAAGAAGTCTCTTTCTGTATACACGACGTAAGAACGCATGTCGCTTAGTAAAGTTTTACAACTGTTGACTTTAAGGTTACATGGCAGCTTATCTTTGTTGCGTTTGGTGCAATGGTTACGAGTGCATGAACACGATTTCGTGACATATTTTCAAGGTTAATAAAAGGTCAAGTGTAATTTTTCTGTGAAAAAGTAGATACATGTAAAGCGATAGGATTACATAGTACAAGTTTCCATTGTTTTTACGACAATGTCAGAACGATTATAATTATAACAAATTACTTTTATGGTATTAGAGTCTAAGGCGGTATCGCACTAGGATGCCATGGCAGCGACACCAACAGCGATGCCATGGCGTCCAGCTGCCAGAGGACGTCAATGGACTGGCCTCAGACTGTCGTGTGATGTTGATTTGGCCTTTGCTTTCGTGGCAGCGATGCCAGCAGCATTAGCACTTGGCATCTTGGTTGGCAGCGATGCCAAGTTGGAAGCGCTGCCAGACAGAAGCCAGGTGCTATATATGACTACTAAATTAATTCATTGACAGTACAAATGACACAGCACGCACGAAAACTACACGACTAACAATAAGAACATACAATCAAGAGAAATAAACGATTTATTCCACCATCAGGAGGAAAACAACATGACCCAATATTGGCTCACGATATTTTAACATAATAACTAATTTTTTTCATACAAAAGAAATTTTAACACAATTTTAAATACATAGGGAAGCTACTGTATGGAAAAGTGAACTTCATATCACATGCAGAAGGAAATCCCAACCAGAATACCCAGCAAATATGCTTAAAAGAAACAACATCATACGTAAATCTACACTTCAAGAAGCGTCATCGTGAATGCTTAAGGCGAACATCAAAACTAACTGTGATCATAACAAAATTTATATAGTGAGCATTATCCATAGCTTAAGTGCATATTGTTAAAATATTTTATGTGACAGTGTTTCCTGCTCGTAGTGGTACGCCTCTGAGGATGATTCTTTTGAATCGAAACATGTAAGGTGAAAAAAGACTGAAGTGTTGTAAACTCGTATGTCACACTGAACTGAAAAGTATCCACTTTGTTAATTCACTGAGTCTGGCCGAGATGTTGGCAGCTGCGCCATGGCCTCCCGTTGGCATCCTAGTGTGATACCGCCCTAAGGGTTTAATTCGACTCCACTATTGCACTCTAACCTGAATAGTTGATTCAAATTTAATTCACCAAAACTCCGCGTCGATATTCCAAGCTGCCAAGAGATATCCCTCACTTTTCCAGTCTGCGCTACGTCCCGAGCTCATAACGCGTTCCGTTATTAAATTATATAAATAGAGGGACATAAAAATAAGGAATCGTTTTATAGAACCTTCTCGATTCTCGATTATCCACGCAAACCATCTCGCCTAGATCGAAATATATTTCCTAGTGCTGTGTTTTTGAACATCCGCTCGCCTTATTCTCCCGCAGAAAAGATTCTCACATCCATGTAAATCAAAAGAAGGAAATTTATCTATATATATACATTTAAGAATTAAATAATACTATAGCAGAAACAGTAAAATTGAGATGCGTCATTTGAAATAAAACGACAGGAATTATTGCCAAAGAAACTCCTGTGCCTCCCACCCTCTTTTCTTATGTGGAATTCAGTTCCGATCGTAAAATTTTTATAAATCAAAGGTTATTTGTTTATTTGGGGCACCCGGTAGCGTAATTGGTCGAGGCACTATGCTACAAGCCGGAAAGTCGCGGGATCGAATCCCGAAGAGGTGGAATTTTTCACTTTACCTAATCGTTCCAGCCGCACTATGGTCCTGGGGTCGACTCAGCCTCTAACAGAAATGAGTACCAGGAATATTCTTGGCGGCCGGCGTGTAAGGCTGACAACCTTACCGCCATCTATGAGCCGATTCTATAGAAAATGTTGGAACATCAACACCTCACAACCCTATGGGCCTACACTGCCTGTTACAGGGATACTTTTACTTTTTCTTTTTAGAAATGTTACTAAAAATACAATGAGTGGGGAGTATATACATGGTGTCGGGGATCATTAAGAAGTGGGTACCGCCTACAGTTACGTTTAGGATTTTCTCCCGTACTATAATTGAACTTACATTATAATTAACTCTCAACTTAGGTCCGCATTTTTGTCTTCTGCGGAACATCTGAAGGTTCAGCTGAAGAACTGATCTCAGAACCATTCTATTCTGAATCATTTCCAAAAACATAAGTCGGTGGAGCAGTGTAAACTTCGGACCGTGCCATAGCTCTGACGGTTAGTCCCCGGCTTCCGACAGCAGCGGCTCAGTTCCGAGCCAAGGTCAGATCATGTGGGATTTGTGGTGAACAAAGTTGTTCTGGAGTAGATTTTCTCAGAGTACTTCGGTTTCCCTTGCCAGCCTTCATTCCACCTATTGCTCCACAATCACTATCATCTATCATCCGGGGCTGGTATAATAGACCAAACAATGGTTGACGTACCAATTGGACTTAGTCTCACCCCATTTCAAGAAACTAAAAAATATATGAATTTTATATCTTAATGAGTAAATAATCATACCTGTACTGTGTGATCCTGATTGTTTATGATTCTGATGATTCGTCCTGAGTTCGGTTTACTCCCGCCCCCTGGGGGCGGCACGTCTCCTGCCTCCGCTATCGATGACTTTCTGCTGAGGGGCGGCTTCCAGCCTTGGTTAGGCACAGCAGGACCGTACCACACGCCGTTCTTCTTGCCATAGCTTGCTTGCTGTACAGAAACTTGCCGTTACTAAGCAGTGCACACGGACACGAACTATAAGGTTACACCCATGGCAACACTTCAAGTGTGTCTTATGTGAGTCTTGCAACAAGTACAGAACATAAACTGAGGGTGTTTTAGAACAAGTTGCTGAGGTCTATATTTGGAACCAGGAAGAATCAGGATTTTACAACGAAGAACTCATGATTTGTGCTCTTCAACAAATATTTTGTGCGTGAGCAAATAAAAGAACATGATTTGGGGATATACTCGTACATATCCGCGTAATAAAAATTAAAAATACAATATTTCTAGAAACAATTGAACCACTTATTAAACCACAGAATCATAAAACTTCTAAAATATCGAGCAGGTTGGTCTAGAGGTAACATTCTAGACTTGTATTCTAGAGTTGCACAGTTCGAATCTCGACCGGGACACCGGCTATTATGATCGAGATTTTTCATAGTTTTCCTCACTCTCTCCTTGCAAATGCCATGTTAGTACTTCGAATAGTTGAGTACCGCTTCCCTCAAAATCTTTTCCAGTTTATCATCATTCAAGTATCATCCTGCCATCCGAAAATGTATAGTCTCAATACTAGAAACGTCGTTACATAAATCGAGAAAAAAATGTTTATAAAATGTATTTTTCTCCCGTAATATATCTGACACCTCAGGCAGTAAGGGACCTGCATGAAGATTTCGGCAATGTAAAGTTTGTCAAATTTAACCTCAGAACTTCGCAGTATTGCTGCATCTATAACTGTTGACTTGTACGCAGTATTCTATATATCATTTTCATGAATGTTTATGATTTATCCTTTTACGGAATTTCACATAAAGAAGTTATTGAAGGAAAGATAGAGGGGCGGATAGAAGTGACCAGAAGACGAGGAAGAAGACGTAAGAAGATGCTGGATGACCTTGGGGACAGAAGAGGATATTCTCATTTGAAGGAGAAAGCTCTAGATCGCATCAAGTGGAGGAACTGTTTTGGAAGAGACTGTGGACCTGTCGTCTTGACAGATTACTGATGATGAACCCCAGTTATTCATTAATTATCTCTTTAAAAGAGGAAGATGAAAGCTGATTTCACGCACCATCATGTAGTTGTCGGCATAACTACTAGTTACAGGCTGGACGACCGAGTGGTTGGAGTTCGGGTCCCGGTAGTGTCAAGAATTTTCTCTTCTCCACGTCGTCCAAACCGGCCCTGGGGTTCACCCAACATCTTACCCAATGTGTAACGAGGGCTCATTCCCAGGGGTATAACGGCCGGGGCGTGAACCTGACCACCACCTGCAGCTAATACCGAAGGCAAAAAAATGTGGATCTATACATCCACTTCCCCATACGCCTCAATGGCGTAATGCTTAATTAGTTATGTACAGGGACAACTTTACCTTACCTTAATAAAAATTACCTTCAGGATAATTATCGTGTTGGATATGACTGTACGTTCCACAGCCACAAATCAGGAAGGACATCAGGTTGATATTAATTATGTCCTGATGAGCAGAGGCGCAGACATAGAGTAGAGATCACGCTAATATTAATGATGGCGTGAAATGGGGGAGTATAGAGGTCGGTTAGTTCGCGGTGGGACAGTGTTCATACCATGTCGTTTGGTCCAAAAGTTACTAGAGTTATTCAGACAGCAGACATGATAACATAAGCCCATATTTCCTTGTGAGATTGGGAAAGTAATATGAAGAAGGCAGTAGACAGCACAGACTCCCGACTTTTCCGTTTATATCTTTCACACGTGCGCGCGCACACACGTATACATACATAGTACATACACGTCATGCAGCCTGTTAGGTAGGCTAACCATTGTAGGTTCCCCCACCCACAGACATATATTTTTCTCTTCCTCTTCGCACACACTTTGGAGCATAGGACTGATTTCTTAGTTCCATGATCATTTTAAAAAAAGGTAGGACTCCTTGGACGGGTGATCAGCTCGTCGCAAGGCCTCTACCTAAACACAGGACAACACAAACACAGAATTAACGCATACACACACCAAACATCCATGATTTGTGTGGGATTCGAACCCACGATCCCGGCTTCCGAGCGAGTGAAGACTACCGTGACCGGCTCCAGGTGGATATACCACGTAGCATAGGAATATTATGTTGGAACATTATGGGAGAAAGAAATATTGTCGGATGAGCTACTTAGAGATCACTGGAGTAGCTTTTCTAAGGGAACCGGCTGCGTATGATCACATGTCTTTCCCCACCTGGTGAAGAAATTGATCCAATTTTTCAAACTTTTCGCATGTAAAATGGAATGCAGAGACTGGACCTAGTCCAGTGTGATATTCATATAAATGAATCAACGCTTATCACAGACCTATAGAGAAAAATAGGTGAAATACTGTCACGTGTTCATGACTAGACACGGAGTTTGGATTGATAATCGCATTTATTGAAGGCTTATAACTCGTACCTACGAGTAAATGCAAATGTCTCACTGATTTAGGCACCCCAAATCACTACTTCAAACGCTAAGTCTTCTATATTTCCTATATCATTCCTAGTCGTTGCTAGGTAACGGCTGCTAACATACAACTGCTAACCGCCGACTCCGACCTCCGACTTTCGACTCATGGCTCAGAACTAAATCGGCTGGTGTCCTCGTTCTGTAACATCGGCACGGACCGCATTAAAAAGACAGCGTCCAACAGTTCCTCCATTATTGCATGCGTGTCAACCGCCTCGACAGCATGTTTACCTAGCCGTTGACTAGTAATGGCAGCCTCTTCTTTCTCCACAATTCTAGCTTTCATCCGTAATTTCACAGTATGCTGTGAGATGCGCTACTAGAAAAGAGGTTTGGATTGAAACCTAGCAACAAGTAAAAATAAGATACTCAAACATCAGGAGTATTTTTAAAAAATACGTGAATTCTTGTCAATGTATAAGTTGATGGCTACATACTGAATTGATTTATATTAAATTTTCTGAAATAAATAATGAACTGTGAACATAAATTAACCAAATTAACTTAGATGTCTTCACATAGTGTATCGAAAGAAATTGAAAACGCCGGTCACATTCGGCAACTTCTCTGACACTACTGTTTACAGTATAGACTAAGATCGCAGGGGTTTTCCAGGTTCACTGTTTTACAGACGTGTTCAAGCAAGTTGTTGTAGAAAAAACCGTGTTTCAGAACACTATGGACATTGCTTCAGCAGGCCGATGATACCGAAAATGAATACCGTAATTTTCTTTGATAACTATTAAAAACATTTTTCAAGATCTATGGTGAAATTGATTGATTACGGCTGGGATTAATTTCCTTGTGCGAAAACAACTTCTCCCTGTAGGGGAAATATTTCCCCTTTGCACTTCAGGTCTAAACCAGCTTTCATTCTTCCATCCAATGGTTTCCTGGGAATTGTTTGGGGTAACAAGTTCCTGAAGACTCAACTATATTTGCTGCCTTGTATATTAATGTGTGTGATTTTAGCTTGAAATTCGCTTTCATTACATGCTACTTTGTCGCCCAAGGGGAAGTGTACTTCTTTTGCAAGCTTTATATTTAAATCCATGATATGTATACAGTGGCCGTCTTGTAGTGCACTCAGTTTCACCTGTCACTCCACAACATGTTTCGGCAACATAGTGCCATCATCAGGTGTCCTAATTACGTCAATCTATTGCATTGCTTGACCATTATACATATAATGGTTGAAAATCAGTGCAACAGGACGCTAAAATATAACTTTATAGCCTATTTAAGTAATTTAAAATCTTAAATGTTTATATCATAATTAATTTTCACTTAATGTCTCTCTATCCATGGCTCTACAGCCCTCTGTTGGATCTTGGTCGCTTTTCAGTTTCTTAATCTTTTACAGTCGGTAAACCTCCTTGGACGCCGGTCACGGTAGCCGAGCGGTCTAAGGTATGCACTGTCTTCGCTCGTTCGGAAGCCGGGATCGTGGGTTCAAATCTTACTCAGGGCATGGATGTTTAGTGTTTGTCTATGTGCGTTTTTCTGTGTTTGTGTACAGGTAGAGGTCTTGCGACGAGCTAATCACCCGCCCAAGGAGTCCTACCGAATGTTTAAGATCTAGTAAACCGAAGTGAAACGGAGAGTTTCATGGAGGTAGGCCTAGGCCCAAATTGGGGCTGTAGCGCCACGAGAAAAAAAAAACTCCTTGGACGAGTGATCAGCCCGTCTCAAGGCCGTTACCTGTACACAGAACAAACGCACACAGACATTCATGCCTCGAGTGGGATTCGAACCCACGATCCCAGAGAAGATATAATATTTCGATTAGTTGCTACAATGTTTCATAAATAATCAGTACTGTCTAATTATGCGACCTTCCTGTGATTTCTCTTAGACTTGTTTCATCAGTAAGTATTGAGATTACTCGCATTTAAATTAATCCATTCGTCCACGAATCTACATAGCCACACACATGTCCATCCAGCCACCAGCGCACTCGTGTATCAACATTAATCATGAATGTGATGGAATTTTGTGAAACGTCATATCGTCATAACATATCAGCATGACACTACAACTTTTTAAGGATGAGCAACACTAAGGCCCTTTATTGCAGGTGTAGAAATTGTATAGTGACAAATAATTTGAAACTATGAAGGTTTCATTGGGGTGTTCTTTAGGTGAACGGTAATATCAGAAACGATGGCGAGCAAAATAAGTTGGCTTGACGGAGATAAATAGGACAGTAATTTAACATAATATTGAGACTTGTTTGATGACATGTTACGAGAATATTCAGTAGTAGTTTCAGTGATAGTGGTTGTAGTTGTAGTGGTAGTAGCGGCAATATAGTTACAGTATTAGTAGTAGCAGCAGTAGTTTTAGTAGTGGTGGTGGTGGTAGTAGTAGTAGTAGTAGTAGCAGTAGTAGTAAATATATTTGAGTTTAATATTTCGGAAAACTAAATGCACTGTTCCAACAACATGCTCCCTTAACACTTCTTCAGTTTATCCTACAGGATTATTGTAACCCTGCTTG